AACAATCGCAAAGCCCTTGCCCTGCCCATTCTTGCAACGGAAAGGAGAAAACCTGGTCAGAGAGGCCTTCCAGGAGGCCATGAGCTCAAGTGTTAATTCTACCAAGTCGCCCACTGGAAATGCACTTCCGGTGTACTTCGGCCAATGCATGTAGTAGCCAAACAAGTCTTAGAGATGCCAGAGGTCTGGCCTCGTTGAGTTATGGGAAGACACTTAGGCAGTTACTCATGACCTGTAACCCAAATCACTCCTCAATGGATTTGTTCGGGGTTTTCCTAGAAGGAAAGATCTGGAGAGCTCTTGTTTTGCATTTACTTTGTTCTCCACAGAATTTGCCATCTTTTTCATTGAACGGAATATATTGTCCCAGAGAATATTAGTCTATGTTTTAATAGTAATGAAGCAGCTTGTTTTGAAGCCCCTGAATCGAAAATTGGGACACAGCAATCTGGACAAATACCAAAGCTTAATTAAGTCTCCCATCCTGTCGAGAAATATGGACTAAACATTTATTCTAGGAGACACAGTGTATGTAACCTGATTTTCTTCTCTGTCAGGTACCTCTTGAACAAGACCACAGTGAGATCAAACCTCATCTAGGAGCAAATTTAATACCTTAATCAGTTTCATTAAATCATAGACGTGAATGTTTCCCCCTTAAAGTTCCACTTTTATAAAAAAAAAATTTGACCCCAAGGCAATTTGAGTTACCTTTCAGTATTTTTTTTCTTTTGGCTGGTGTTTAACTTTTTTTTTTTTTTCTTAATTTCTTGAAGCAATTGGCTTAGAGAAAATACTAAAGTTCATGTAAGAATAATAAAAATGAGGCACGTCAGATTAATATGACTAGCCATTTCCTGTTCCTGAAAAATCTAGTCTTTGATTTTCCAGGTTTGTGAAAGAAGCTCTGTTGTCTGACCATTTAAAGTAATTCTTGAGACTCATTCATTTTCTTCTTCGCTATTAATCTCTCACTTGGTGAAGTAGGTGTTATTAATTATAAAATTCCTTAAGGTGTCATAAGAGTTTAGTTAGAACTAATCTACTGGTTTAAATTCTGCTAAATTGAAACTATTTCTTTACTTATACTTGAACTGAGTTTTACAATTAGAATGAATATACTCTTTCTATTACATAGTTAAATAAATATATTGACTTAAAGACTTACTTGATTATCAATGAAATGTAAGTTAAAATATCAACAAGGTACTACTTTTTTCATTTATTAAATTGGCATTTTAGGAATACTGGTGTATTAACCCATTTCTTGGCAAGAATATGAGAAAATGGGTCATTTCAAACACTGTTGGTGGACGTGTAAAGTGAAATAATCTTGCTGAAAATATTTTGATAAATAATAGTCTTTAAAAACAACTCAACTTCTAGGAATTTTTCCTAAAGAAATGATCATAAAGATTACATAAAGATTTATTACACTAATGTGCATTGCTGTTTTGATTACTACAGGGAAATTTTGGAGAAAACCCATATGTTTAACTATTGTAGATTAATAAAATCAAATATCCTTAAAATGAAATTATATCGGGACCAGCAGTTAGCATAATGGCTATGTCGCTGGACTCCCACGTAGTCGACCGCGGTTCGAGTCCCGGACCTGGTGGCTTAAACTCACGCCAGGCGCGTGTGCGTGCCTGCCCAAGATCCTGAGAGGAGAATGGAGGAGAAGGGATTGTGGCGTGGCCAATCCCCCCTGGAGGGTGATTTCCTGCTTTCTGTCTCTCTGTCTCTCTCTGGTGAGCGCACGCGCCCTATAGCAAAAATCTCTCCAAAAAAAAAAAAAAATGAAATTATATCTACCCTTAAAAGATGCTAGAGAAAAAAAAAAAGATGCTAGAGAAAGGTTTATGGGATTTTGTTAAGTTAAAATATAATAATAATGCAATTATCAAATTATATGCATTTTGTGATTCTATCTTTAAAATGGAAGAATGCATATTTATAAATATAAAATATCAACAGTTTTCACTGCATCATGAGATTGTGAATAATTATCTGCATTTTTTAATTTATTTAATGAAAAATACGACTGCTATACCCATCTTGTAATCTCACCTAACTGACTCCATATTTTGTCTCTTTTTTCAGAAATATAAGCCTTACACCAATGGGACTGCCAATCAGAAGTGGTGTTACATGGAAAAAAACAAGGTGTTCATGGCCTTTTGTAGCACTGTCCTGGATAAGGAAATCACATCAGCAAATTACGCTGGCGTTTGTACGTCTTCTGTGATTAAAGAAGGAAGCGTTGATCAACCAGTACGTGGTTCCTTCCACCCAAAGATGAAAATGGGGTAGCTTAATAAAGCCACAGACACTTTCTTCTCCTAGAAAGCCACATGTTTGTACAAGCCACACACTGAGTTTTTAATGAAATCACTCAGGCTTTGTAGATTCTAGTTAGGAAAGAATGACAGAAACTCACGAGGAGCAGAACAAATCCACCTGCATAAAAGTACTTTAGGGTGATGCTGGCATGGGAGGCCCTCATGGGACTCACCTGGGGAGGTTCTGGATTTGTATCCTGAAGCCTCCCTGTCAGGAGTGCACGTGGCCTGTGATTGCCGCCTTCTGAGGTGGGGGTGGATTGTGGCATGAGGGCTCTGCTGGCTCCCTCCCCACATGGAAGGGAAAAACAATCTTATCAGAAGTACTGTAAAATTGTGTCATGGAGATTTTCATACACATTTCAAAGTAGAATAATACAGCAGATCTTCATATATCCATCACGAAGTCAGCTCTTATTAAGGTTTTGCCACGCCTGCTAACCCCAGTCCTGATACCATTTTTTATCTAAATTAAGCACACACTTCTAAAAATTTTGAATACTTTTCTGACATAATCGCCATGCTATTTCTACAGCTAACAAAATGAACAACTCCTCTTTAGCCAACTACTATCTTATCCTTAGGCAAATTCCCAGGCTGTTATAAAAATGCTTTCCATGGCTTGCTGGTTTGCATCAAGATTCAGACAAGATGCCTATCGGACATTTGTTTGCAGAGTCTGGGTTCACTGGCAGACAGGACACCCTTTGGGTTTGTTCGCTTGTTTGTTTGTGGCATCCTTCGACTTGTTTCTGTTTCCCCCATACCTTCTTGTAAATGGGACTGCATGCCCGAGTTGTAATTAATGTTTAACATTTTTTAGACAAAACTTTCATAGGTTTTTCTGTGTGTTGCATATTTGCCATTTACACAGGCAGTGTCTGAGTTTTCCATTGTTACTGATAATAATTCTTAGTGTGGTCAAGTGGTTACAACCTAATCCCATTTTAAAAATTCCCTAATGACTTTTATCTAACGTCATCTTTTTGTTTTGAAGGGGACAATTTTGCTTAAGTTTATTATTCCCACCTACATTTATTAGCTAAACTTTCTTTTTTAGAGAGATTTTTTGCTGTAGAGCGTGTGTACTTGCCAGAGAGACAGAGAGAGAGAGACAGAGAGACAAAAAGCAAGAAATCACCTGCTGGAGGGGATGACCGTACCATAATATCCCTCTCCTCTTGGGCCCAAGACTCAGACCATGACTGACTATGTGGGAGTCCAGCAATGTAACCATTATACCATCTGCTGGTCCCATATTACCTAAACTTTTAATGTAGGGGAGGAAGAACGTTACCTCACCGGCTATTTCACTGCCCAAATATATAATTTGTAAGGGAAGGTAGGATAAACACTTAATTTTTTGTATCCGTCTCACATATCTATTGCAGTGTAACAAACCACCTGAAAATTTAGTGCCTTAAACCAACCACCTTATTTTGCTTTCTGGGCGACCTATTTGCAGTAAGTAGGCTTATCTGGACAGGTCTTGCCCAGGGTGACTGTAGTCATCTGGTGGTTCTTCTGTAGTTTGGTAGTTCTATGGGGACTCAGTGGTCAAAGATGGCCTCCTTCACAGGGGCATTGCTTCTCAAGCAGGCAAGCTCAAGCGTGTTCACGTGGTGGTCATAGGGCTCCAGTTGTAGCCAAAGCAGGACAGCTCCCATGCCCAGGCGCTCACTGTGCACCTGCGTGCACCCCATTTGCCAGTGCTGCCTTGGCCAAAGCAAGTGATGGCCCTTGACAGGTTCAAGTCAAGGAGAAAAGGAGAAAGAAACTCTATTTGCTTAGATGAGCAGCAAAGTCAGAGTTCAAAAAGGGATGCTGACAATAATGGGACAATTTTATTGTGGCCATCCTTGCAAATTATTGGACACCTTTTAAAAATGTGCCAGAGAGCTCATGTGCTCACCAGAGAGAGAGAGAGAAACCAAGAGAGAAAGAGAGAGAGGAAGGAGAATAAGAAAGCACCCTCTCCCCATGGTGAAGAGAGTTATGCCACAATCCTTTCTCTGTCTCTCCCTCCTTTTGAGATTTCGGGCATGTATCCACATGCCTGCCGTGCGTTTCTCAGACGTCAGGTCTGGGAGTTGAACAGCACAGTTGCCATGTGGGATCCAGCTGCCTTCACCCCCATGCCATCAGCTTGGCCTAGACATACTTTTTAGAGGCCAGTTTCCAGAGTTAGGAACTAGTGCTGGTTTTCTTCCAACAATATCCAATGAGTGTAGTTTGTAAAAAAATTTTTAGCAGTTTTTTTTTTTTTTTTGGCCACCTTAGGCCACATGAGCTTGCTAGAGAGAAAGAGAGACAGAGACAGTGAGAAAGAAAGTGAGAAATCACCCCACGCCACCCAACTCCGATGGGATGCCACGCCACTATCCCTTCTCCTCCATTCTCTTCCCAGGACCTTGGGCACTCACATACAAGCGCCAGCATGATTTTCAAGCCACCAGTCCAAACTCAAACTGCGGTGGGCCATGTTGTTGTCCAGCGATGTAACTACTACATCATCTGCTGGTGTTGTTTCTAAATTTTTAAAGAAAATTTGTCTGTACTTATATTGTTAGCATCATTATGAATGCATGAGATTTTCCATATTCGAACACCTTCAAATATGTTCATCATCACTCTCTCTGCTGTTCCCAGTGGACCTGCTGTGGGCAGTGCAGGCTCTTTTCCGTTAACTGCTGTCTTTTTCACATGATTCCTTTTACTCTCGCATAGCTTCTTTTCTTTCTGAGCATAAGAGACTCTTTGATTATCTGGTGTATTTCTTGTCCCAAATCTAGAACTGGCCATTTTTCCAAGAAATCCTAATTTTGAACACAGGTTTTCTCATTGGTGTTGGGTTGTCATTACAGTTTGGAAATATTTCTTTTTAAAAAATGTTGATTATTGGGAACCAGCAGTTAGTGTAATGGCTATGTCGCTGGACTCCCATGTAGTCGACCGCGGTTTGCATCCCAGACCTGGTGGCTTAAAACTCACACCGAGCGCGTGTGCATGCGTGCCCAAGATCCCGAGAGGAGAATGGAGGAGAAGGGATTGCGGTGTGACCATCCCCCCTGGGGGGTGATTTCTCGCTTTCTGTCTCTATGTCTCTCTCTGTCTGTCTGGCAAGCACACATGCCCTATAGCGAAAATCTCTCAAAAAAAAAAAAAAAGAAAAAAAATGTTGATTATTAAGGAGAAAAATAATACACTTACATGGAAATTTCAGAGTTAGCGTTTGGGAATTGTGATACAAATGCGCTGTGTATATTGTAAAGTGCTCTACAGAAATGCTGTCCTAATTTAGACACACCTGCTTAGAAGTGCCTTTTCCTCCTATTTTAGGGATACTATTACCTCTCACCTGATGGAAAGAGAAAGACTATGCTCTGCTCAGCTTGCGGACGGTCCATGAGAGCGGAGAGGGAACTGAAGCAGATGCTTCCAGGGGTTCCTTTCCTCTGTGCATCAGGCTCCACCACCCAGCTCTTCTCACGAGGGCCTTTCAAGGTCATCCGTGTGGCCAAGGTGTGTAGCAATCGGAGCTCTGCTAAGGGGCCGGCCTGGCCCGGAACCTGCGCTGCGCTCACTGTCTGCTTTGCACTCAAGCTCATCCCCGCCATCCAGTTCTCCGTCAGATGCCCTGCCCTGTCCCGCAGACCTGCAGTGACTTCCTTTCCCTGGAATTTAAGATGTGTTGTCTATTAATAGGACAACTCGCCCTTTGAAGTTACTTGGGCAGCTCTGCAGCTGTAATCATCCACTCCTGCCTTTCCCTGTTCTCTGTGTCACTTTCAGGCAAGGAAGTGCTTCAGATTAGCAGGGCAGCTTTTTTATCTGGAAGCATGGACTAAACCCCTTTTCAGGAGTGTGCAACATTTTGGGGTTATTCAGCATGTCGTTAATAACTGTTCAGGGCGGGTGCCAGGATTCACACATCCATGTCTAACACTATTCAGAGCTCATAGGGGAAACCAAACCAAATCAAACTCTGCCACTTTCCTGGGACCTTGCTTGCTTTCTTTTTCCCCATTCCTTTTCCCTCAGAATTTCTTAAATAATCTAACTACTTTCAATAGCAAGTTCAGCTGGTAAATACATATCTGTGAATACATGTCTGACTTTAGGCGTGAAACTCTGAGAAGAATGAATATACTATAAGGTAGCACCTAGCTGATGCTATAAAGCTTACTACAATCATTAAATAGGTATTTTTAATTAATATATTCTTTTAATTTTAACAGAAGCAGTTTTAGGGTTTTTTTTGTTTGTTTTTGTTTTGTTTTGTTTTTTTTTTTTAGAGATTTTTGCTATATGGCGCGTGTGCTCACCAGGGGGGATGGCCGTGCCACAATCCCTTCGCCTCCATTCTCCTCTCCTCATCTTGGGCATGCACGCTCACGCACCCAGGGTGAATTTTAAGCCACTGGGTCTGAGACTCAAACTGTGGTCAACTACATGGGAGTCCAGCGACAAAGCCATTACGCCAACTGCTGGTCCCTAGCAGTTTTAGCTTTAATAAGTCAAAGAAATGCTAAGGAACTTTGCTTAAAACTTAGGTACATGAACCTATCGGCAGCTCAAGACAGGACAAAAAAATCCTTAAAACTGGAAAACAAAGCCCGGAAGAAAATCAGCAATGTTTTAATCAAAAGTCACAGAATGCTATTTCACCAGTTCAGTCTCATGTACTTAATCTATCTTCTGTTGTGGTTTGATCTTCCTGATGAAATTCTGGGATGTAATATTCAACTCCAGACTTGTCCCTATGATTAAGTTGGCTATTTTCTTAGTTTTTGAACTCTTATTTCTGTGTGCCTGTATTTAATTTTCCTGGTATAGTTCTTCCTTCAGAGCTTCTTGGAGATCTGGTCTGGTGTTGGTAGATCTTTCAGGTTTTGTTTATCTGAGTATGTTCTTGTCTTTTCTTCCCATATGAAGGATAATCTTGCTGGGTATAGTATTCTTGGTTGAATTACTTTTCCCTTAACACTTTGAATATATTTTCCCATTCTTTCCTCGCTTGCATTGTTTCTGATGAGAGGTCTGCTGTTAGCTTGATGGGATATCCTTTGTAGGTAACTTGACATTTCTCTCTTGCCAATCTTAGTATCTTGTCTTTGTCTGTGGTTTGGTCAGTCTAGCTATAATGTGTCTTGGAGAAGATCTTCTTGGGTTGATTCTATTTGGGATCCTTTGTATTACCTGGGACTAGATTTTTGAGTGCCTCTCTAGGTTTGGAAAGTTTGTTTTATGGTCTAGTATTTCTCGTATATTATTCTCATGTTTTTGGGCAATTTTCTCAGTCTTTGTGGTAGATTTTTCTAGGCCAGTGATTCTGTCTTCCACATCTGAGATTCAATTTTCTGTATGATCTAGTCTGCTTTTAATACTTTAAGGGGAGGTTTCTTCATCTGATATTTCTGTGAGTTTCATTGTACTGTCTGTGGATGAAGAGGAGTTATTCTTTACCCTTGGAGGAGAGGTATTTTCCTGCTTTCCTATATTTCTTGTGACCCTACAGAGATTTCTAGTCATATGATGGATGGTGCGTTTCTTCCTAATTTTTGAAGTTCAATCTGGGCGTTCAGAGACGTGCAGGAGGAGGTGATCTGCAACCTCTCTTCTGTTTTGTTTTCACTCTTTGAACATCAGATTCGGTGGGAATAGAGGAATATTCTTTTTTTTTTCTTTATTTATTTACATTCATTCACTGTACATCATTATAGCATACAAAATGAGATTTTTCCATTGAGAATACACTGTATATTGGCTCAATCAAGCACATCAACATATGTGTTATTGTCAACAAATCATTTTCCATTTCTTGTTTTCTGTATATTTTGCCTTTTTTCCCATCCTTGATTCCCTATCTCACCCTCTGCCATCTCCCACCCTCCTCCCACACTGTGTCTGGTATCTATTGTTGCTTTCTATGCCTCCCCCATTTTATTGTTTCACTAAATATCTTAATAAATCTAAATATTTTCAATAGCAAGCACAGCTGATATGTACATATCCATGAACACAAGACTGACTTTAGGCATAAACCTCAGTGAATAGAATGAACATACTGTAAAGTAGCACCTAACTAGGGCTATATAGCTTAACTGCAGTCATCAAATAGGTATTTCTAATGCCTATTTTTTTTCTTCTGAAAATTTTTTTTATTAATTTACATTCATTCCCTGAGCATCATCACAACATTCTAAATGTGATTTCCCATCTAGAATGTACTGTATAGTGGCTTAGTAATGCATGTTATCATCCATAATATTCCATTTCTACTTTCATATATATGTTTTTTACCCCATGTCTAGCCCTCTGCCCTATTCCACTCTCTTATTACACTATCTCTGCTGTCTACAGTTGTCTTCAATTCCTTTTCCCCCAACATTTCGTTGATCACACAATATCATAAGTAATCTAACTACTTTCAATAGCAAGATCAGCCGATGGTTTCAAGAAAAGCAGTTTTGAACTGGTAAGGATATTTCTTTGAAACTTAAAGCCTAGAAACAGGTTAGTATTCTGTTCAAATAGTCGGAACATGAATCTATTGATAGCTGAAGACAGGACAAAAGTCCTTAAAACCAGACAACAAAGCTTAGAAGAAAAGCAGCAATATTTTAGTCAAGTCGTAGAATACTGTTTCATCAGTTCAGTCTCATGTACTTAATCTTTCTTCTGTATCTGTTGAGGTTCGATGTTCCAGATTGAAATCTGGGATGTAATACTCAACTCCAGCTTTTGGCCCTACAATTAAGTTGCCCATTTTCTTAGTTTCTGAACTCTTATTTCTGTGTGTCTGCATTTAATTTTACTGACATAGCACTCCCTTAAGAACTTCTTGGAGATCCGGTCTGGTGCTGGTAAATTCTTTCAGGTTTTGTTTATCTGGGAAAGTTCGTGTCTTTTCTTCCCAAATGAACGATAACCTTGCTGGGTACAGAATTCTCGGTTGAAATTGCTTTTCCCTTAATACTTTGAATACATTTTCCCATTCTCTCCTCGCTCTCATTGTTTCCGATGAGAGGTCTGCCGTTAGTCTGATGGGATACCCTTTGTAGGTAACTTGCCTTTTTTCTCTTGCCAGTCTTAGTATCTTGTCTTTGTCTGTGGTTTTGGTCAATCTGGCTATAACGTGTCTTGGAGAAGATCTTCTTGGGTTGATTCTATTTGGGGTCCTCTGTATTTCTTGGGTCTGAATCTTTGAGTGCCTCTCCAGGTTTGGAAAATTTTCTTGTAAGATTTCATGGAATAGATTATCAATGCCCTTATGAGTCTCTTCACCTTCTGGGATGCCTATTATCCGGATGTTTGGACGTTTGATGGTATCTAGTACTTCTCGCATATTATTCTCAAATTTTTGGGCCATTTTCTCAGTCTTCGCGGTGGATTTTTCTAGGCCAACCATTTTCTCTTCTACATTAGAGATTCTATTTTCTGTATGATCTAGTCTGCTTTTAATACTTTCAAGGGAGATTTTGACTTCTTGTATTATAGCCTTCATCTCTAACAGTTCCATCTGATTCTTTTGTAAAGTGTGAAATTCCTCTTTTAGATCTAGCATGAATTTCCTCACCTCCTGGAACTCTTCAACTCCTTTCTCCTTCCTCTTCAGCAGTTCCTTGTCTCTCTTCTCTTCCATCTCTGTTAGCTTTGCCATTATGAATGTTCTGAATTCTTTATCAGACATTTCCATGATTTCCATTGAACTGTGTGTGGATAAAGAGGAGCTATCCTTTTCCCTTGTGGGAGAGGTATTTTCCTGCTTCCCCATATTTCTTGTGGTCCTGCAGCGATTTCTAGTCATCTGGTGGATGATCGGTTTCTTCCCAAACTTGGAAGTTCAATCACGCGAGCTTTGGATGCTGGAGGCCCAGTTATCAGTGGGACATCTTCCTTTCTCCCCAAATGGCTAGATCACAGGAGCCATGGAGCTGTCTGTCTCTTGAAGAAGGGCTATTCTGGCGGAATAGAGGAATATTCTGACCCTAATCGTATTCAGATGTTTGGACCTGTTCACTTGGACCTGTCTAGACACACAGTGCGTAGAGGCCACTAGAGATGAATCTGGAGGGGGAACTCTCAACAGAAAATCTTCATTTTTAGTCCCTGAAAGCAACATCTCACAGCTGAAGTTCGGGATTCATCTGAGGATGGGCCTGGGTTTGTGCCTTTCTAGAAATGAATATGGAGGGAGTAGTCTCAGCAGAAAATTTTCATTTTTAGTCTCTGAAGGCAATATTTCACAGCTGAAGTTCGGGCTCTCTCTCCCTGTGGTTTAATTTAAAACAGCACCATTTAAAAAGCCTTCCCTTCAAGTTAGAAGTGAGAAGAGTGAGTGGATCTTACACAGAGGGGTGATTCCTAAAGGTGGGGACCTTCTGGCATTCGGAACTGGCCTGTTCCAGTCCCAGCTCACCCCCCTTTCGCCTTCATCCTGAGACAGGAGGAGCGCAGGGGTGGTGGTGGGTCCCGGAAATGTCAGTCCGCAGGGCAGGACTCGAAGGGTCGAGGTGGCTGCTCCCTAGCGAGCCCGAAGGCATCTGCTCTGCCAGGAGGTAGCGAGGAGGTGCGGTGAGGTGGGCGGTGGGGAGTGGATCAGAAGGAATCGCTGGAGCCCAGCCTCGCACACAGAGATCTCCTCCTGGAGGGTGTCCTGGTCAGGTGACTGCCTTTGTTCCCTGTACCGTGGCTGAGACCACACCCCCTCCCGTCCACCCTCTCCGCCGCAGGACCGGATCCTCCTAAAGGTGAAAATGTTGGTGTCCCCGGACTTCAGCCCCAGACTCTCTAGGGCTCTGGCATCCTTTCTCACCACCTCCTGTCATGGGGAAGGAAACAAAACACCAAGAGAAGGTCAGACGCACAAGCCAGACACCGGGAGTCACCGGCACCAGGCAGGGCTGGAATGCAGCGGGGAGCTTCCGACCCCGTGTCCCTCCCACCCGGGCATCGGTGTGGGCAGCACAGGGCCCGAGCCTTGTGAAACTTGGGGAACCAACAGTTAGCGTAATGGCTATGTTGCTGGACTCCCACGTAGTTGACCGCGGTTCATGTCCCGGACCCGGTGGCTTAAAAAACTCACGCCGGGTGCGTGTGCATGCGTGCCCAAGATCCCGAGAGGAGAATGGAGGAGAAGGGATTGCGACGTGGCCATCCCCCCTGGGGGGTGATTTCTCGCTTTCTGTCTCTATGTCTCTCTCTGTCTGTCTGGCGAGCGCACGTGCCCTACAGTGAAAATCTCTCAAAAAAAAAAAAACAAAAAAAATCCTGGAGCTCATGCTCACGATCCACACATTTCGTACATTAAGAGACTGAAGTGGGGGCTGGCAGGTGGAGTGGTGGGTAAGACGTTGGACTCCCATATGGTTGAGCACAGTTCAAGTCCCAGACCTGGCAGCTCCCTTCCTCGATCTCTCTCTGCTCAAGTTGAATAATAGTAATAAATAAAATGAAATAAATTGTTCTTTAAAAATTATTAAGAGACTGAAGTATATCTAAATAACAAAACTAAAAAATATTTCAGTTAATGTACAATTGGTTTTTAAAATTTTTTTAGTTAATTAATTAATTTTTTGAGAGGTTTTTGCTATAGGGCGCGTGCGCTCACCAGACAGACAGAGAGAGAGAGAGAGACAGAAAGCAAGAAATCACCCCCCAGGGGGGATGGCCACGTCGCAATCCCTTCTCCTCCATTCTCCTCTCGGGATCTTGGGCACACACGCACATGCGCCCGGCGTGAGTTTAAGCCGCTGGGTCCGGGACTTGAACCATGGTCGACTACGTGGGAGTCCAGCGACATAGCCATTACACTAACTGCTGGTCCCTGTACAATTGTTTTTAAAATCAGGCTGATTTATCATCTCACGACAAAGCTGAAAAAACCCTAAGCCACTACAAAGAACGTCTGCTGTCTCTCCGGATGGAGACCTGCCTGCACGCTGTGCCTCACTGGGCTCCGGCCGCTGCTCGCCAGAAGGCAGTGAAAGTAATCGCACACAAAAACGGGGCTGGCTTTGGTGATGGGAAGTTCATCGTGGCCCGAACATTCCCCATGGTAAGTGGCCCTTACCTCAGCGCTGCTTGCACCCTCAGAGATAATGACAATGGCATTTCTGACCGGAAGAAGTGGTGGGATTGGGTGACACATGTCCTCAGCCAGATGCACCAGCTTAAGCTGAGGTGTTCAAAGTCACAATATTTTTTTATAATAATAATTTATTTAATTTTATTTATTATTATTCAGTTTGGCCAGAGAGACAGAGAGTGCATGGGAAAGTGAGAAAGGAAGCTGACAGGTCCAGGACTTAAACCGTGGTTGGCCATGTGGGAGTCCAGCACCTTAACTACCATGCCACCTGCCGGCACCAATCTCTGATTTCTTAAAGACATTTTTTTTTTAATTGAATTTATTTGGATACAGACCTTCAAATGTGAAGCTTGAGTAAGTGTTTTAGATTGGCTCCAGAGCAGAGAGGGAAAACAGAGCTACCCAAGTTCTTCCTTCTTGCGACAGACAGAATGCCTTCCCGACTTGCTTCCCAGGGCAGCTTTGAGCTCTGTCATTGGAGGAGTCTAAGAGATGCCACCTCGTTTACCACCTGGAGCATCGGAGCACCTCCTCCTAGCTAGAGTGTGTCTAAACTTTAAAGCTGAAGGGGCAAGGGTTGCCTTAGAGGGGACGCCATGTCTGTCTTGGAGGCTCCCCCTAGCCATCAGAAAGGAGAGCCCAGAAGAACCAGACCTAGCTCTGCCCTGCCATTATTTAAGGATTATCTTGTCTATAGTTCCTGGCTGATGCTTTTACAGACTACCAGCCCTGTGGCCTGGTGGTTGAAGGAGCCAGATCCCACATGGCTGACTAGTTTGGATCCTAGTCCCGGGGGCTTGTAAAACACACTGGGCACATGTGTGCGACGAAGAAATGGAAAAGGGATTGTGGCTGGACGGCATCCATTGGAAGGGGGCTTTCTTCTCTGCCAGTTGTTCACTGTCTGCCTGTCTGTCTTTGGTGAGCGCATGTGCTCCCTAGAAATTATTTTTTATAAAAATGCATTTTACGAGTGATGTTAATTATAATACAGTGTTATTCTGTAGACCTCCTTGAAAACACACACACACAGATCTGTTCACTCACCTCTTTGGTTGACAACAAATGGTTATTTTTATTAAGACATTTTTATTCAACATTCTAAGCAAAGCACAGAAGTCAGAGACCCCAAGGTTCATAGCTGGCTTCCGTGGTCTTGGCAAAAATGCTAACCTCTCAGCCTATTTTCCCATCTGCAAAACGGAGGTAACAATACGTGTCAGTTCTTGGTTTGAAAGTTAACCGCTCATTTATTTTAAAGCAGTTCATCAATATCACAACAATTTCATACCTTATCAAGCCACAAAATTGAGAGTGGATTTCTGGGTTGAACATTTCTTAGAAAATATTCTGAGGCTGAAGTATATTAGCACGCATCAGCTACTGTGTTAAGTTTTCGGCGCTAGGGGTCTTTCGCATCTGGTTGGACTAATGTGAGATTAGGTAGGACAACTTAACGTCCAAACGTGTCTCATCAAGATTGGTAGTTATTCAGCTATTTCCTCAAGGAAAGCATTTTCTCAGATTTCTACGATGATAAGCTCTTCACGATTATTCCTGATTCTCTCACTCTCTCTGCTGGGTCCTTACGGCCTGCGTTGTCTAGCTTCTTACAGAGTGCACAGAACAACTCGGGCTGGCCAGAGCGGCCTCCACAGTGTACACGAGAGATGGGACCGCAGTCCATTCCTTGCGTGATTTGGTTCTATGGGCTCTGGAGGAGTCCTGTATCCAGACTGATGCTGAGGGACAGAGGACAGAGGCAGCTCCTGCTGGAAGAGAAGAGAGAACTGTGCAAAGTAAGCGAGGGTGTCTGCGTCCTTCAGGATTTAGCTGGTTCTACTTACATGTGATCATGGAAAAGCTAAATGTGATTCTTTCATTCCGTCACCCCTCTGGAATCGCATCATCACAGGAAGCTCCTTTTATAAGTGATTCCGAGAGTATCACTGAGATTCTCATATTGTTTTTACCATCTAGAATAAGAAAAGGTTTTAGCCCTGAAACAATAAATATCACAGAGAGTTGATCAGCTGCGTTTGCTAGTGCGGCTACTTCATGAAACATGAACGTCTTTCGTTCACACACTCAGAACCGAAACTAGCTGGAGGGCACCTACGAATCTGGGGCTGGATCAGAGCAGCTCTTCCCACTGTTAGAAGAGAAAGTGTCCACAGGTCAGGTCCCAGACCTGGCAGCTTGAAACTCACAACAAATACAGAAGTAAAGATTTTAATAAGGAATATATCAAAGAAAGAGAAAGTGTCCTCTCCGTCTCCCCCTGACTTGGGGTCAGGGCCTGTGTCCCAGACAACAGTTTACTGAATGAAAGGAAGTCTTGCTAATAATAGTTCAGGAGTTTTCTCAGTGTGAGACTTTCCACTACTGCGTCGAGAGGCGTGGTTTAGAGGTTAAGAACCGGGTTGTGGAGCCAGAACTCCAGTGTGTAAATCCTTTCCTGATAGCTGAATGACTCTGGGCAAGTTGTTTAGTCACTCTGTGCCTCAATTTTCTCATTTGTGAAATGAGGATACTAATAGACCTTAATTCACAGGGCGTTTTGGAAGACAAAACTGAATACATACATATATATATATATATCTTCACTTGAAAATTGTCGTGGTCTGTTTTATGCTGCTATAATAGACTTGGTCATTTATTTATTTATGTTAACAATTATTTTATTTAACTTCACTTATTTATTTATTTTAATTTGACCAGAGAGGGACAGGGACAGAGTGAGAGAGAGGGATATTCAACATAGATATTAAATATATTCCATTTGGCTTATAAATATGAATATATAGTCATCTATTTGGAGTCTTCAAAAATCCATGAAAAATGTGTATAATGAAAAAGCCATGCATAGATTTAAAATAGTTTTACACCAAAATAAACTCATACTTTAATTCCATATCTCTGCAAAGTCTCTGAAGTCCCCCTTGTATCTGTATCACTCAGAACCGTGCCTACTCGATGTTGACCAAGCATCGAATGCATATCAGCCATCGTGCTTGCGCACTGGACATCATTTGTTTTGTTCCCTAAAGAGTTTTAGGAAATAGATATGTGAACATTGAGTGCCCAGCTAATCACAGAAGCACACAGTTCTGCCTTTATTTGGCATATATTATAGAATACCTACCCTCTAGACTCTCTAAGACTGTGATTTCAAATACTTTACAATTCTTACTAAAATCTGGTTGGATTTTATGTTATTCATGTAAGACTATCAAAGGGGTGTCGTTTTGGTGCCATTCTTTTCTCAAATATTTCAAAGTTATTCTTTAATCATTCAGGGCCACTAGGAAGCTGTCCTCTTTACAGAATTATGGCTTGGTGTTAAGCCAACAGTTTGTGTTGAAGAGCCTTCAAGAAACAGCCTGTGGTCAGAATGCCCACGAAGCACAGTGCTTTCTAACCAGGCAGAGGTTAAGGACGCAGGCTCCAGAGGCAGGTGGCCCGGACTCCAGTCCTGGCTCTGTGGTCACCCAACGAGTGACCTCACCAGTAAGAGGGGAGTGGTAGTAGGACCATCGCAGAGTCTTGTTTTGAGAACCGTATGAGCAAATGCATGTGAAGTGTGGTGAACACCCAGCCTAGAAGCTCTCCGTGGGAGGTGTCTCCGTTGCAGGATTCTGTTGGCTGTGTCACAGATGACCACTTTCCAGGACCCTTCCGTGAATTTCTCTCAGATCTTAGGATGAGGAAGAATGCTGAGGAATTGACCTCTCCTGTACATGGCCATGTGAATATGGAAGTAGTGTTTTTCCCTGTCTTTGGCTACCAGGAAGGTCGGAGCACAAATTGTGCTTTATCTCTAGCAAATAAAAGCAGAGAGGTGTTTACTCCAGGTAATAATAATAATAATAATAATGATAACGACAGCTAGCTGGCCAAAGTAAATAGGCCAACCACTGTTTCTTCTCAACGCTTTTGTTTCTTTTTGATCTTTCTGGCGGCAGAATGAGATTGCTCTTAACAGTCCTCTTAAAATGTAAGGACCCTGGGGCACCAGACGCAGTAGTCTGCTCCTCTACTCATCTTCCCTCTGCTAGGTCTTCTCGCTTTCTTGTCCCCGCTTCAGAGTAGGTATTTTGGTAAGCTGTTTCAGATTTCTTTTGGAGCCAGCCGATGTGAAAGAAAATAAACGTATTATTTCTAATCACATCAGTTTAAATTCTGTGGTTGCATATGAAGTTTCTTACCATATTTATGTCTTGGCCTCTGGTTTTGGAATTGCCTGTTTAAATCAAGTCATTAATGAAGAGTGAAATATTTTGAATAAAGAAATGAATTCTGAAAGGTTTATTCATTATTATTAAACAATGGCAAACGTGCATTTATTTCCCAGAAAACCTGAGGATAAAAGTGGAAAGCAAGTTCCTTCCAGACTCCGTGGGGCCGGATAGTTTGGATGGTATAGATAAGTCTTTGCTCGCCCTCGTCCTCAGAAATCCTGTTGCCATCTGGGTATCTTGCGGTGAACCATTTCTTCCTCCAAATGGTACGTCTTTTTATTTTTTTCTCTCTTCGAGTAAGTGTATGAAGAGTAGGAGAAATAAATTTTATGTCATGGTGAGAAGACAAATTAAATGCGGAAACGCCACCGTTACAGCATTGCATTTATGCAGAGAGCGAGGCCCTTCGGCTGCGAGTGCGGGAGGACGGCGCTGCCCCCTTTCCACACAATGGCCTGTTTTTTTCTGACTGGAATGGAGTATTCTGCATGGAAAAATGTCTAATTTAGTTGATAAAGAGATTCTTGGTCTGTAAGACTGAGAATAATGGTACACATTAGAAAATAACAAATGAGTTTAATTCACACTGAGGACGACCTGTCTACACATTTTCATTTTTAGGAATTGCACCCTTTAGGCAGAAGGTGGGTGTTTAAAAAATGAATGGTTCCAAGCCAGGCTTTCATCACCTCCAAATAGTTTGTGGAAGTGGAAAATGAAATATGGCTATTGCATATGGTAAATCTATATAATAAAACAGCAATGTTCTTCTTTCCCCCCTCCCTTCCAGAAAGAAATGCCTTAAGCCCTGTCATCTTTCAAATGAGGTTCTTGTAATGACCCTTACCTTTTAATTACTTGTTTCTAATTGAATCTATTTCTTGGAGCAGAAAGTTCTTTATAAATTATTGCTGTGCATGATAAATTGCTGTTGATAAAAGAATGTGAGACCAAGTAGCATGTGTTATTATTCTAGCTCTACAGAAAGAAGCAAAGACAGAGAAACAGAACTGGCTAAAAAAGGACAAAATTTTGGCTGATTTAGGTACCATGAAACACAAACTGAGACAGTTAAAAGGTCAGTATGCATGAAACCAGTCCTCACCATATGTAATTCAAAAGGTAACCTCAATTTGCCGATAGATTTTTACCACGAGGTCCCAGGTGTTTAACGAATGTGTGTGACGTGATTGTCGAGCTGTGCAAGTTGCTTGGGCACAGTCTAAAAACTAGTAACGTACCTTTATAGTGCTGATCTCATATTTAAATTTCATACTAAAACAAACACATTATAAAAACTTAGGAGGGTATGTGGGCTAGATAACCATCCTGTTGCTTTTGAGATAACCCCTGAACTAATAACTTTATGAGTTTAGAATTCATCTTTAGATAAAACTTGCTGTCATCCTGGGATATTGCTGGGGGAAAGGTTCTTTTTTTATTAATACTTTTTTTTTTAAGAGGTTTTTGCTATAGGGCGCGTGCACTCACCAGAAAGACAAAGAGAGACAGAGAGACATGTCATCCTGGGATATTGCTGGGGGAAAGGTTCTTTTTTTTTATACTTTTTTTTAAAGCGTTTTTTGCTATAGGGCGCGTGCACTCGCCAGAAAGACAGAGAGAGACAGACAGACAGAAAGTGAGAAATCACCCCCCAGGGGTGATGGCCACGCCACAATCCCTTCTCCTCCATTCTCCTCTTGGGATCTTGGGCACAGACGCACACATGCCCGGTATGAGTTTTAAGCCACTGGGTCCAGGACTCAAACTGTGGTCGTCTACATGGGAGTCCAGCGACACAGCCATTACACTAACTGCTGGTCCCTTTTGTTTAGTTTTGAATAATATGAGAGAAAAATTACTCAGATCTCCACAGTATAAATATTGCAAAAAGACTCCTCCTTTGGTATAGTGTAAGATGCGTCCCATGTAGTCCGAGGGACCACCTGGCCTCTTCGTCCTTGGCTTTCATGCTCGTCGTCTTCCCACCTCTTGAAGTACAAATGGCTGTTCAGGCAGGAACAACGCACTGTGGGCTGTAGCCTAGGAAGGAGTACATTTCAGGCTCCGTGGTCGCCAAAGCAGAACTTCGGCTCCTGGTGTGTGTGCTTGCTTGTTTCAAAAGCACGTAAATCTTGCTTCCATGAAGAGCACATAGTCTTAAGTGCACTAGATGGGCTTCTGGTTTGAAAAGGCTACTGAGCGAAGAGCATCTGTTAGCACTGCCAACCTCTCCTGCTCCCAGGGGACATATTCCCGTGGCTGTCCTGCGGGCATCACACTGTCCCCATGCACACGCCTCCTTCAGTTCCTCTAGTGGAGATGCTCCCGCAGCCACCCAGGCGCTCCGTCTCAGAGACCTGGGAGCCGTCCCGCACATCTGCCTCTCCCTCACCCCCGCCCCAGCGAATGTTCAGTGTGCCTTCTTACGTGCAGTCTGTTGAGCTGCTCTCGGGTGAATTCTAGCATTCTTATGGCCCAGGGTCGCCCTGCCATGATCTGTGCCTTGGATTACTGGGACGGTTCTCTAACCGCTCTCTCTGCTTCCAGTCTTGATGGTAGTTTCCATTCTGTGAATAAGGATGACGTTCTGGAGTTGAAGTGATCGTGCAGAAATACAAAGGCATCGGGGCCAGCATGGGGCATGGTGGGTGGGTGCTGGACTCTCACACAGCCGACCACGGTTCAAGTCTCGGACCTGGGGGCCTGCTGTCTCACTTTCCCTCTCTCTCTCACTCTCTCTGGTGAGCACATATCTCCTATAGCAAATTTTAAAAATAATAATAAATAAAATGAAATAATTAATTCTATTTTTTTCCCCCTAAATACAAAGGTGTTATGGTACCCCGAGCACAAAACCCTTCAAAGCTCCCTATCACCTTTAGGATGAAATGGAGCTCCTCACCGTGGGCCTTCGTGATGTCACTTTCTGTAAACTCCTGTCCTCGCCCTCCTCACTCCATCCATCTGAATTTTCCTTTAGCCCCAGGCACGTTAGGTTCGGAACTCTGAGCTCCAGAAGGGATTTAGTTTCTCTGCCTCCACAGTTTCTGTCTCCTGTCCTCTTAGAGTGTCCCTCTTTGTCATATGTATCTTTGTGGCTTGCTGGTTCTTTCTTTTTTTTTTTTTGGAGAGATTTTTCGCTATAGGGCGCGTGCGCTCGCCAGACAGACAGAGAGAGACATAGAGACAGAAAGCGAGAAATCACCCCCCAGGGGGGATGGTCACGCCGCAATCCCCTCTCCTCCATTCTCCTCTCGGGATCTTGGGCACGCACGCACACGCGCCCGGCGTGAGTTCTAAGCCACCGGGTCCGGGACACAAACCGCGGTCGACTACGTGGGAGTCCAGCGACATAGCCATTACGCTAACTGCTGGTTCCCAAGCTTGCTATTTCTTCACGGAAACCTTCCCCAACATTCCAATCTTGTGATAATGTAGATGATCACTCTCTGAACTCCCTCTGAGTGTTCTCACTGCATTATTAAAATGGCCTGTTCTGTGACCTTTTTCTCTAGACAATGATTAGACAATGAATTCTATGCCTTAATTTCTATCATTTGTTCCATGCATAGTTGTAGAATGGTTGAAGAACAAGTGCAATTTCAGCTATTCATTCCGAAAAGTTTTCTATACTCCATTCCTGTATTAAGTTAAATCAATAGAAGCAACAAACTGAAAATAGCACCTGGCATATCTGCCTTTACTAATTCTAGTCTTATATCACGTCTTCAGCTTTCATCCCAATTAAGTATTTTTTAAAAGAATTATGTGTATGTGTGTGTGTGTGTGTGTGTGTGTGTGTGTATACTGTGGTTGGCCATGTGGGAGTGCAGCGCCTTAACCATCACACCACCTGTTGGCCACCATCAAGTATTGCATTTAAAGTTCATCTGGCATCGTCTCTAATTTCACTATAGAAAACTACATTGGGTCCTTCGATGTTTGTCGAGGAGTCCATTGATGCAGTTTCCCTTAGCGTTTAGGCTAGGATAAACCTTGTCTCTGCTGACACACTGCTACGTCTTCTGCTGTCAGAGATAAGTCTGACACATGCTTACTCTGAGGAAGGCCTGTTTCTAGCTGTCAAGATTATGAGGGCAAATAAGAACAAGTCTTAGCTCATTTAATTGCAGTCCCTATTAGTTCACGAGCTTCTTGAGGGTCGAGTGATAGGAGACATGAGTGGTCTGCCAGCTGAATACGCCACGTCTGGCCCGGAGCCCCAGTGAATGCCCTGCAGAGTTACTGGACATGCGCTGTGCACGCTCCAGAGCGCGGTTGTGACGAAGCTGATTTTACATTTCATTTGTAAACATCCTTGCCAATGTGCTAGTAATTACTCTGTGCAATTTATATAAGTAACAAATGTCCAGTGTCTACTACATGGGTCGTACATAATAAATAATAAATATTGGCATAAAAATTCCTAAGAATGCAACAAACCTTCCATGGGGGTTCTTAAGACTGATAAGTAAAACTCAGTAATAGCAGATCATGCCAAAGTGTCACCTCTGTCACACATGAAGGCAATGTGGGAGCATTTCGCTTAGTACGGGATCGCAAGGGGTCTGCTAACTGAAACCTCAGACTGAGTGGGCTTTTCCTTCCAGACACGGATATGCTGAACCAGGCTGGGCCTCCCAATGAGCTGTCCTGATGGGACTTACATGAGGGGAGTTTAAAAGCGTGTGTAATGAAATTCAAGGAGGGGGTTATTTTGGTGCACATTCTTTTAAAATTTGTGTTTAGTTTTTTCATAATACACACTTTTCAAGAACTTTTTGAAAACTCCTTGTCCCAGGAAAAACCAGCAAAACATTAACATTCTCTAACTTCTGCTGAGAGGAATTTGCTGCAGTGCCAGCAGGCCTAGAAGTGGGAGCTAGGAGTAGGGAGAGGCATGCCCCATTGATATTACTTCCGGTTCTATCCTGTGACCACATGTGAAATAAAATAGAATAGATGGAAAATGTAATGATAATCAAAAAAGTCAGGCGAGCCCTATAGCCTAGTGGTTAAATGAGCTAGATCTCACATGGCCGAACCCAGTTTGGATCCTAGCCCCAGCAGCTTAAAAAACATGCTACGCGAGTGTGCAAGTGTGTGCAGCCTTCCACAGGGGCGGAGAGAGGGAGGAGAGTGGTCGTGGTGTGACCTCGCCCCGGCAGGGCTGCTTTCTCCCCTCTGTCTATCTCTGGTGAGTGCCTGCATCTTCTAGAAATTCAAAAAGGAAAAGAAAAAATAATTTATTTGATACATTTTGGCTTAGTTTCAATTTATGCTATTTTTACCTTCATAAATAATAGTTTATTATGAAAACCTTCCCCAAACTAAAACCTTTTGTTCTGACATTATGTCTCTTTATGAAAATTAGAGTACAGATGTGTTCATATTCTGAGGGCCATTAGAAGCAAGTTGACAAAAAAGCAAGTAATGCGTAATGTTTTTTCCTGTTTCTTATATTTAATGCCCAGCTCTTAATAATGTAAATGATAAACTATTGCTGAATGCTCTTTAGATGAACACAGTGTTAGTGTTCAAAATGCATTATAAATAAAATATTTGTTGAAATATTATTCATAAAAATTTATGTCATAAATTAATGTTTTTGTACTCTAGGAATAGAGTTGGATAAAAACTATACTTAGTATAATTTGTGTTGTTTATCTGTGAGATACCATCGTGCTCTTCTCTAAAACACATCACTGGGTGGCCTTGTCATGGAGCTCATTGGTGGGTCCATTCAGTTCCGTCTCCTCTCCATCCATAAATTGCATATGAATGCTCATTAGGTTCCTAGAGTTCTGGCTTCCCAGAAAAGTCATTCTGCCACTTGTTTCTATAAACTTGAACTGCAAGGGCACACACGCCTTATCCTCTGCAAGTACCCAATTATTTTCAAAGGGTTTTTTTTTGTTTGTTTGTTTTTTTTTTTTTTTTTTTTTTTTAGCTAAAACCTGAAAATCTGCTCATTAAGAGCACCTTGATAACAAAATTGAGAGTCAATTTCATTTTGGTAGTTCTATTATTTTAACAACCTAAGCGTTACTTTCTTGCCAAAACCTTCTCTGACACCTCAGACGAGGCTAGCAGATCTTGCGACACGCTGTCATAGATGCTGCACCTCTGATGCCACACACACGCAGTCAGCCATTGCGATCCTTTCCTTGACGTCTTCCTTCCTCACTTGAGGGAAGAACTGGCTCTTGAACGTGCTCACATGCATACCACCCAGCGCAGTGTCTGACTTCTGGCTGCTGCTCAGAACACACTTGTGGTAGGAATACAAGATAAGGCACAATTTTGGGACCAGCAGTTAGCGTAATGGCTATGTCGCTGGACTCCCTTGTAGTCGACCGCGGTTCGAGTCCCAGACCTAGTGACTTGAACACACACCGGGTGCATGTGTGTGCGTGCCCAAGGTCCCAAGATCCCAAGAGGAGAATGAAGGAGAAGGGACTGCGGCGTGGCCATCCTCCCTGGGGGGTGGGGATGATTTCTCACTTTCTGTCTCTCTGTCTCTCTCTTTCTGGCGAGCGCACGCACCCTATAGTAAAAACCTCTCAAAACAAAACAAAACAAAACAAACAAACAAGATAAGGTATGATTTTTTCTTAAAAGGTTTGGAGGTCAGTATGAAGTGCCTTGTGCACCTTCAGCACAAGAGAAACAGCTCCCTAAGTGTGTGTTTAAACCTCTTTTACAATGACTGGAAGTGGTGTAGTTGAAAGAATGCACAGATCTGAATTGTCGTGCTTATTAAATTATGCCCGTGGTTCTTTAGAATACAGTATTTCAGTAAATATTTTCTCTTGCCACAGCTTCTTAACATCATAAAGGGCACAGCAGAGTGTTAGAAACTAATCGTGGGGTGGTATTAGAGAAAAAACAATGGGTTAATATTATTTTAGAAATACTTAATCCCAGGGATTCTAACTAGTGGTGGGGGAAGAGGCTTATAATTAGTGAAAAGGACAAAACATATGTCTCAGACTGGGAGAGGCGATGGGGACTGTATAAGGTCACGGCCCCGTTTGACTAAACCACTGCT